GCATTGAAAATTTATAACTAACAACAAAATCAAAATCCAAGATGAAATTTAGGAAAAATTATTTCCTAAAAGCACCATCGTCTCAGAGTCACATGGTTTCTGAAACATCACCTGATTGGTCGGCTGGAGGAACGCCGACCAATGGGAGAACAGCTTACAAAACCTCGCCTGTCATATGACACAGCTGATCGATCTGGGTTGAGGAACCAAAACACAGCGAGAGGTAAGAGCTAATTTCCTTATATTTAAGCGATCTCTAACTTTTGTTTTCAGAATTGGGTGCAGGATTAGAAAAATATGGTACCGGGGCTTCAATTTAAGGCTAAAAAGGGTAGGACATTGGTTATAATCAGTGTAAAAACTACGAAAGATATGTTGCACCCACTAGATGGACAGCAGTTTGCAAGGAAATCGTTTTACTTTTCGGAGTATATTGGTTATATATCGATATATTAAAGTTTGCTAAGCATATGCATATACGTTAGGGTACGTTGTATGTCTGTTGAATTTCCTACTTAAACAATTATAGTCAGTTTACAAAGATAAAATATATTCCACACAATTTCCCACATACAGTATACCCAGTGTTAATGTTAATGTAATATTTCCTTAAATTGTGAGGATCTTATAAGGAGGGAGATTTTAGCAGGTGAAGATGATGGAGGTTGGATGAAATATTCCAGGAGGGCAAAGCACAGAGGCCATAAGAATGCTTAGTTTAATTACTCGACTTGAAGCTGATGCTTCCCTCAGTCTTTTTCGGTAAAGGTTTACAACAGGACTGCACCCGACTGAGACTATGTCCCAAACTCCAGCCAATTATATTGGAGGATTTTCTGGTGAATCTGGGGTTGGGGGGGGATTAGCTCAAGGCAGGTATTTCAAAAAGAAAGTGAAAGTGGAAAATTAAAAACCCAAGCCAAGAATATTATTTCATATGAGAAAGAAAACAGTAAGTAATAAAATGAAGACGAGATTCAGCCACGGATTATTCAATACTCTGTTTTGTGGACAAGTGAGTGAGTGAACCCCATTATAAATGGGCAAACTTCCACTATATGAAGGAAAAACCCTCCTAGCCTGGGGGCTCCGCCCCTGAATCCAATCCCTGTCACTGTATTTGTCTATCGGGGGCTCTGCCCCTCGACTCCCTCTCGGTCCAGGTACTTCCTTTTCATATCATATATTTAAGGAATGAACATTTAATGATACATATTTTGGTATAATTCCATTAGAATACAGAAATACGTTTTTAATATAGCATATTTCTAAGAGATTAACCATGATTGGTCGTGAAGTCACAAGCTATATGTGGTGACAGTTTATTTTGGGTTACGGCATAGCTAAGATGTTTGCGGGGTGAGGAGGACTGGACTTGGTCATTGGAAGCACGCGGTGAATTAGTCTGCGCAGTATTCCCTGCGCCACATTTTCGTCATTTAACTTGAATCAGATGGCTTCTTTAGATTGATATTAATATTAATGAATGCAGGTTTTTAGTTCCTACAATGCTATGATATTCAATTTTCTCCACGTCGGTGCAGTCCTTTTGTATGCATTTACCCATGTTTTCTAACTATGCATGGTCTTGTTAATATAAAACAGTCTGTGCCAAATATTCAGTATACTTTCGCATGACCAATTTCAACTACTCTCTACTACCCAAATATGTAGGACATTTACTTTGGAACCCTCCTAAATGGCTCTGATAGCAGGGGAGGGCATGAATGGTACCAGGGTAATTATGGGTAAAATATGAATGATATACACAGACTAATTCATTATATTGTCTAATGTAGGGGGCTGTGACCCATGTGATCCCCTCCTAGGGGTCCAATAACTACAATGGAAGACAAAGAATCCTTCATGTTTTCATAGCACGATAGAACATACGAGCGAACTGTGGGATACTGAGTCTGTTTTACGATTTATCCTGCCATACATACTTGGAGGATTCCTCATTGACCAGGGCAATAGAGGTTGCAGAGGTACAGCCCACTGTATTTGACCAATTCTCTGTCAGTTATTCATATTTTACCCCACAGTTCCCCTGGTACCATTCATGCCCTCTCCTGCTATAGAGGCTGAGATTGTGGGTATTGGGAGAGGAGGTTCTGCAGCACAGTTTCTATATATCTGGGTAGTAGAAAGTGAGAAGAATCCATTGATACCAATATCCTCATGTGATTGGTTATTCGAAGATATTCTGAATATTTACCCTTTTTTTAAAAGTATTTCTATTAAATCAGCAACTAACAGCAAGAAAGTTTTATATTGAACAAAGAATACTATTGTTGTCAGTAGTAAATAAAGTATAAAATTCCCCCACATTCTTGATATTTTAATCCTTGGGATCCAGGTTACAGGAACATCATGTCAAAAAAAAACATGGCTTAAGGGCCATGTAACGTGAACAAGCTGTCATGAAAAGATTTAGTGCTAAGGTAGTGGGAACAAGCAGTTTTGATAATTTGGCCTGTAGACTGTGGTGATATGTTGATACATTTTATCAGTGTATATTTACTGTATAGTTTGTTACCCAAAGCCATGTAGTACAGGGTAAAATTTGCTTATAGTAATAGTGATGATAATGACATTAAAAATGATAGTAATAATAATGATTATGATAATATCCGTTTGTCCATATCTTCATCTTTATCATTATCATTGTTATTGTCATCATCATTATCATCTTCATTATCATTATTGTTATTGTTGTTATTATTATTATTGTTATCATTGTCATTATTATTATTATTATTATTATTATTATTATTATTATTATTATTATTATTATTATTATTATTATTATTATTATTATTATTGATGTTGGTATTGATAATTTTTTGTCAACACTAGGCATGCTATGAAGGTGATACAATAGCATAATTTGGATCAATGATGTTATACACTAACATTTTTCTTCTTTTATGAAAGGTCAACATGCTGGATAGCGTCTTTAACATCGACTGTGGTTACTTGGAGGGCCTGTGCAGGGGTTTCAAAAATGGTATCCTCAAACAGACGGATTATTTGAACCTGGTGCAGTGTGAGACTCTTGATGGTGAGTGATATCCTGCTTTTGTTTATTCATCTAGCATATGGATATTTTGGTGTTTTATTTTCACGAAGCTGTTAAATGATAGCGTACTTTATGAACACGAGTAAAAAAGGAGTTACTGAAATATCGTTCAGTATTGGGATATAGAGCTACAAAAATCTGAATTCACATTGGAACATTTTTTTTTCTGTCCACAGATTTGAAACTCCACTTGCAGAGCACAGATTATGGCAACTTCCTGGCCAACGAGGCCTCGCCACTCCAGGTCTCTGTCATTGACGATAAGCTGAGGGACAAGTTGGTGACAGAATTCCAGCACATGCGTAACCATGCTGTGGAACCTCTAGGAACCTTCCTTGATTATATTACCTATGGGTTAGTAATGTTTATTGTAGATAAAACTCTTGCTTTGGACTAGGATTATGATTTATTTGAGTGAAGAACAGTAGGAAAATAGAAAATAGAGGATAGAGGATAGATTTTGGTTTGCAATTATGAAAATGTTCACTGTTTATCAATCTTTTTATTTGCTTTTAAGATTATCATTTGTATGATATTTTTGTCATAGATTATGATTTAGTTAATTTATTTCTTCATTATTATATCTTTATTCATAAACACATTTATTTTTGTTATGACCAATTAATTAATTTCTAATGGAATTTATTTATTCATATTTTCTTTTCTTTTCTTTTCTTTTCTTTTTTAAGGTACATGATCGACAACATTGTCCTGCTGATCACAGGCGCTCTCCACCAGCGCCCAATTTCTGAGCTGATGCCCAAGTGCCATCCCCTCGGCACCTTCGAGCAGATTGAAGCCATCAATGTGGCTTCCACCAGCTCTGAGCTGTACAATGCTGTTCTTGTGGACACTCCTCTTGGTAAGATTAGGTTGGAGAAAGAGGCTTAGCAAGTATAGGAGGAAGAGGACAGGATTACAGCTGGATAGATGGAAGAATTTGAAGGGTAGATTTCAGTATTTTGTGATAGGAAAAGGGGAGATGAGAATTGTTGATTAGTTTTTGGATATTGATTAGTTTCTCAGGATGGATGTGATGGATGAGATCATGGGAAAAAATGTTTTGAAAGGATTTTGTGACATCCTTAAGTTGGTGTAGATTATCTTTTGTGTAATAATCTAAAAACAGTTTGAATTTACTTCATATATTTGCAGATGTGTTTGTTTTCTAGCAATTTCACTGTGACTTAAATGACTAATCAAACTTTGCAGCTGACTTCTTCGGAGAGTGTGTCAGTGAGCAGGATCTGGATGAGCTGAACATTGAGATCATCCGTAACACCCTATACAAAGCCTATCTGGAGTCCTTCTACAACTACTGCAAGTCCTTGGGAGGCACCACTGCTGAAGTGATGTGTGAGATCCTTGCTGTAAGTAGAACTGGATTTGACTTTCATTGTTATACAAACTGATAGGGTTGCATTTCTCATTTTGGGATGTCGTATTTCAGACTTTTTTGGAACTTAATGATTTTATAGCTAAATGAGATATGGGTTAGAAAATTCAGAATATGTATGTGCTTTATATTGATGGAGCTAGAGAATAAGAATTTGAGTATGTTTCTTTGGATTTATGTACATGTTTAATTATTACTGGCCTTATTGCTCACGATCATTGTGAACATCCTCTCTACAGTTTGAGGCAGATCGTCGTGCTTTCATCATCACCCTTAACAGCTTCGGAACAGAACTGACCAATGAAGACCGTAAGAAGTTGTATCCTCAGTGCGGCAAACTATACCCAGATGGTCTTGCTGCTTTGGCTCGTGCTGATGACCCAGAGAATGTGAAGCAGGTTGCAGAGTTTTACACTGTAAGTATAGGTCGGATGTGGTGAAGGATTTTCTACCTGGAGTCTTGTGTTATTTAGCTCTATATTTGTTTTTGGAATTTAGAGTATATTAAAGTATATCCCTCTAAATGGAAAAAAATCAGGCCTTGGAATGTGAGTAAATTCCAAAAGGGATCAGTGAAATTAGGATATTTCATATATGCTTAGGAAATGATAATGTTAAGGAAAGTGTCAAATTTGTGTGAATCGGTGTGATTCACTTGATTACATTTATACAAATACCTGGAGTTTGAATTGACTTTGGCTAATTTCAGAGAAAATTTGTTTTCGGTAGAACTGAATCAAATTTTAGTAGTAGGGTGTCTATAATATATATTAAGTTAATCATCAGATTTTACTCATATATAACTGATTATAGTCTGGAAAGTTTATGAAATTCTGCCTCTTATTATTATTTACATCAGTACTTAATATTTGTTTCAGAAGAGTTTAAGCTATGACTATTTGAATGTTTGTGTATTTATGGTCATTTATCTATCTATCCAGGCTATCCCTCTCTCTCTCTCTCCTAATCTATCTGTTTCTATATGTACCTATCTTTTTATATCTATCAACCCATCTGTCTATAATTTTATGTCTATTTATTCATTTTTAAGATATAAATGAAATTAATGGTGATAATAGATGGTAATGATAATAAATGATAATCTCATAATGTCATTGCTTTTAACTTTTCTGCTTGTCACAGAACTTGTTTTATTAATTTAAAAGTCATGGATGATTGTTATGCTTTCTGAAAAGTATATATATATATATATATCATATGAGAATTGAATGAATAGATTAGTGATGCCAGAAAAGATATTTGAAAATATGCCCAGTATACATAAAGTGTGCTATCATAGCTAATGCACATACCATAAGATAACTTGTAAGTTGTTATTTATGGTATTGATTTGACATTAACAGATCAAGTTAGTGTGCTGTGTGACTGTGGTATTATTTTTTATTTATTATTATTATAGTTATTAGTATTATTAATGCCTCATTCACCTTCTTATTCTTATTCCTATTATTATTGTAGTTACTTTTTTCATTATTATTATTATTATTTTTTTTTTATTAATATTGGTTACCCTTTATCTCCAGGAATACCGGGCACTGTTTGAAGGAGCTGGCAACAACCCCGGCGAGAAGACCCTAGAGGACAAGTTCTTTGAGCATGAGGTAAAGCTCAATGTCAATGCCTTTCTCCACCAGTTCCACTTTGGGGTCTTCTATGCCTATCTCAAGCTGAAGGAGCAGGAGTGCCGAAATATCGTGTGGATCGCAGAGTGCATTGCGCAGAAGCACCGAGCAAAGATTGACAACTACATACCCATTTTGTAAATTTTGCAGCCAAGTGCGGCGGGAGAATGTGGGACACTCTAAAGCAGTATGTATAAGGGGTCTAATGAGACGCATTTGGATGAGGTATATATTCAAATTTTGATAATTTAGGCAAATTTCGGTTTCAGATATCAGGACTATTGCAAGAGTTTAAACATTTTAATATTTGGATATGATTTTTTTTTTTTTTTTTTTTTTACAGCAGATTAATGGCAGAAAAATTAGCTGTTATTATTATTTTTTTTACAGTATTTTCTTTTAATATTCCACTTTTTTATGTTCCCGCAAAAAGAACAGATCAAATACATGGTTGTTCCCCAAAGTGCAAAAGGGCAGTTAACAAATGTTTATTATCTTTATAAGGATTTCATTATTCCTTAATATAATTTTTCTTTTTTGCAGTATCATTTACTTTTTTACTTAATGGTGCACTAGTATTGTACCAGCTATAGATATAAGACTATGGTACTTTGGGTATGATACATATAGAGCAAGTATATTTCATATTATAGTTGTCCCCAGTGTGAAGGAAAAGTTTAGCTTCAGAGGTTTTCACACCAAAGCCATCTTTTACTTGAATCATCATGAAAAGGTTGTTAAGTATTCTTTAGCTTTTATAATAGTGAGAGGAACTGTCTAACTTGTTTCCTGATTTTTTATTCTTTTTCTTTATTTGTTCTTTTCTTGCAAAACATGTTACCATAGACTTCTGCTGCAAGATGTCTAGTTCCTCTTTTCCGTCATTTTGGCAGTAAAAGAATGATATATCTAAAAGGAACTTTATATATATGTATAAGATAACGTAAAACATTGTCACTGTTGGTACTAGTGACACAGACCAAGTTTTGCATGTGGTATTGGTACCTTGTCATTTTTTGCAATCACTAGACTTGGCTGGGAAAAAAGTGTATTTATGGTAGTGGTCTAAATAAATTGTTCATAGTCCTTGCCAAAGGGAAAAAAAAAAGATAGAAATGAATATTAATTAATTTTTACCATTTTAAAAGAATTTTGTTTTAACATTCCAAATATTTATCAGAGTTTGCAATATTTATTTGTCAGGGGAAAATATCTTCCAGTAGCACAAGTTTACAGATAATTTTTGTTTGTAAGTGTATGTATGACATTTCATTGTGATGTAATGCATTATTCTGGATGTATAATTGTACATAATGTTTATTTGTGAAGTTATATAATGTTTAGATATATACTGTAATAAAGCATGGTGGTATTGATAA